TCCCTGTAAGAAATCCACAACTGGACAGTCTTGACTCAACATGAGATTTACTCCCATATAGAACTGACTGATTTCCTGTAAGAAATCCACAACTGGACAGTCTTGACTCAACATGAGATTTACTTCCATATAGAATTGACTGACTCCCTGTAAGAAATCCACAACTGGACAGTCTTGACTCAACATGAGATTTACTCCCATATAGAACGGACTGATTCCCTGTAAGAAATCCACAACTGGACAGTCTTGACTCAACATGAAATTTACTCCCATATAGAACTGAGTGACTCCCTGTAAGAAATCCACAACTGGACAGTCTTGACTCAACATGAGATTTACTCCCATATACAACTGACTGACTCCCTGTAAGAAATTCACAACTGGACAGTCTTGACCCAACATGAGGTTTACTCCCATATAGAACTGACCGACTCCCTGTAAGAAATCCAATAACAAACTGCCTGGAGTCACTCATAAATCCACTATCATACAGTCTCAAACATCTTATACACAACTGTGGATGTTACAGGCTGTAATTTAGAACTGACTTGTCTTGAGTAAATGTTACAAGCTGAAGTTGTAGAAGTGACAGGTGTTGAGAATATATTACAGGCTTTAATTATAGAAGTAACCTCTGATGATAATATATTACAGGCTGTAATGATAGAAGTGACCTGTGATGAGAATATGTTACAGGCAGTAATTATAGAAATGTCGTGTGGTGAGAATATATTACAGGCTGTAATTATAGAAATGACCTCTAATGATAATATATTACAGGCTGTAATTATAGAAGTGACCTGTATCGAGTTGATGTTATAGGCTGTAATAATAGAAGTGACTTGTGTCAAGTTGATGTTATAGGCTGTAATGATAGAAGTGACCTGTGATGATAATATGTTACAGGCTGAAATGATAGAAGTGACCTGTGATGATAATATGTTACAGGCTGTAATTATTGAAATGACCTGTGGTGAGAATACATTACAGGCTGTAATTATAGAAGTGACCTCTAATGATAATATATTACAGGCTGTAATTAGAGAAGTGACCTGTATCGAGTTGATGTTACAGGCTGTAATTATAGAAGTGACCTGTGTCGAGTTGATGTTATAGGCTGTAATAATATAAGTGACCTCTTTTGAGCAGATGTTAATTATAGAACTGACCTGTGTTGAGTAGATGTTACAGGCTGTAATTATAGAAGTGACCTCTGATGATATTATATTACAGGCTGTAATTATAGAAGTGACCTCTGATGATAACTTTTTTCAGGCTGTAATTATAGAAGTGACCTGTGATGAGAATATATTACAGGCTGTAATTATAGAAGTGACCTCTGATGATAATATATTACATGCTGTATTAAAGAAGTGACCTCTGATGATAATATATTACAGGCTGTAATAGAAGTGACCTCTTTTGAGCAGATGTTAATTATAGAACTGACCTGTGTTGAGTAGATGTTACAGGCTGCCCACCGGATCGTAGCCCCCAGGGCTGATAGGGTCTCCATGAGAACCTGTCAATGTAAAAACAAATTATCAAAATATATTTAACCGAAATTGTTTAAAGTCCACTAAAACTAGAGTATCTTATAACTAACTTCCATAAAAGCTTTGAAAGGATGTCAACTGAGACCATTGGACTGTAATTTTAATAGTATGTATATTGGTGCACTCGGTGACAAGTACTATTATAACGTCACAATCAGATGACAGCGTGCCATTATGACATCACAATTAAAAACGTGTCAACATGTTGTTCAACTGACAGTCGCAATCTTGCGGTCAACATGTCATTCAACTGTGGCAATCTTGCGATCGACAAGTGACAACACCCCGAGAACATAAGAGTTGTTGTACAAGCTAGCCCTCAAGGTGTTGCATGGATCTTTGTTTTGAGGTAATATCTTTGGTATACGTAACCATACTTTGTTCTGCTCTTTCCTAATATGGCCTTACGAATACGAAAGCTTTATCTAAATTCGGTTAATTGGGTATAGTTACAAATGACAAAACATAAGCTCTAATGAGCTTTTAACCGATAATCTAGCTCCTTACTTTGTGTATATTGCGTTATATTTAATATTGCATTTCAATTGTCTATGTGCTGTTTACCCAAGAGTAAAGAGGAGGGAGACAAATAGTCAATCATGACCTAAGTGTGTGTGATATAGATAATCTATCCATGGGTGCAGAATTCGGTGTCGGAGCCTTGGCAAAGCCTCGCTTCTAACCCAAATTCTACACTCTCTCATAGGATATCCATATCTCACATATACGTGATAGACTCTAGTAAATGTCCATGCTATGTTATAATGACCTAATACTGACCGAAAATCCTTCATTGGAGTTCTACACACTGACAGGTCAGACACATGATGCCCTCAGCCAAACAGAGTATGTCTTCTAGTGCACTGAGGTTGAAACTTTTCCAACTCTATAGACCTCACAGTTTTCTCAGAGGGAAAACTGTCTAGACTTGACTACTTACCAAATCTGACCTTATGTGCAACGAGGCTGTAATGTGGAATGATTCTCATCCATTTAATTTACAGTCAGTTAACTAGAACACTGACAGGTCAGTAAGGGCCCCGTCTCATCCATTGAGTTTACAGTCAGTTAAAAACGGACGGAATGGGAGAAGTGGCCTCATAGGGATGCTGAATGGAGGTAAAAGTCTGAGACGAGAGATGGTCCGGATTAATCTTTATCCCTTTGAATGTCACTGACCAGGCAATGCAACAAGACATCCAAATACACACTTTCCTATTTCATATCATCTCCTTACTATCAAGCAAAGAATCATCTTCATATTATCAGACATACAGCCATTTTACATCATACCAGGTACATGTATCTGCAGAAATCTTTACTAGATCAGTATACAACAGTGTTGATTATCGCAGCAGACATAATGCACATGAACATATTCATGGTGACATGAAACATTCCAATATTATTCAACATTACAGGGAACGAAACATATTTTTCTAGTTTGTGTTCACTCCATACAACTGTTTGGACTCTCTGTTATTGGTTTGGTTTAATTTTGTTAAACGTCCTATTAACAGCCGAGGCCATTTTTGCCTCCATGTGTATAGTGTATGCATGCTGGAGACACGGTATATCGGTGTACTTGCCTCCTTGTGATAGAGCAGATCTGACTCTCTGTAACAAGTAAACAGTTGTCGTAACCCTGCCATCAGTCATCACTACGATTTCTACAGCACGAAATGTGTGAGGCATCCAATACTTAACAAATACTCGGGTTAATGACATCGTATCAATCTGGCCACGCTCAACCTCCCTGACTATTTATACCATACGTACAGAACGCAGTCTAGTCTAGGTTAGAAATATACTGGATGTTTTCAGAAAATATCAATAAAATCTATTGGTGCATTCTTACAGATAGTATCCAGGGCCCATATTCATGGAACCATTCTCGTGCTCAATAATGGATTATGTGCTCAAGCCTAATTTCTTGTTCTGGTTATAAGTTAATAAACAAATCTTATTTTGTCAATGATTTTGAAAAAATACCAAGGAGACTTCAAGCCAAATACTGTTTTCACATTTGGCTTTTTGATCTTTTGACATGACTTAAGTGTGTTAAAAGAAAGTTTGTTTGAGCACAGAATCCATGCTTCAGCATGAGAACGGTTTCATGAATACGGGCCTGGGCTCCAAAACTGGTACACAGAGCAACCATCAAATAGAAAACCTCCGACCTCACCCCGACAACCACTGTCCTAAAGGATTCCTATCGTAACTCTACTGTTGGTACACAGGTTTAGTTCTATCTATAACACTGACTATAGGGCTGTGGTTTGATCTGTAACTGTATCGCTGTCCCTGGAGAACACAGGTTTATTTCTATCTATAACACTGACTGTAGGGCTGTGGTTTGATCTGTAACTGTATCACTGTCCCTGGAGAACACAGGTTTATTTCTATCTATAACACTGACTATAGGGCTGTGGTTTGATCTGTAACTGTATCACTGTCCCTGGAGAACACAGGTTTATTTCTATCTATAACACTGACTATAGGGCTGTGGTTTGATCTGTAACTGTATCACTGTCCCTGGAGAACACAGGTTTATTTCTATCTATAACACTGACTATAGGGCTGTGGTTTGATCTGTAACTGTATCACTGTCCCTGGAGAACACAGGTTTATTTCTATCTATAACACTGACTATAGGGCTGTGGTTTGATCTGTAACTGTATCACTGTCCCTGGAGAACACAGGTTTATTTCTATCTATAACACTGACTATAGGGCTGTGGTTTGATCTGTAACTGTATCACTGTCCCTGGAGAACACAGGTTTATTTCTATCTATAACACTGACTATAGGGCTGTGGTTTGATCTGTAACTGTATCACTGTCCCTGGAGAACACAGGTTTATTTCTATCTATAACACTGACTATAGGGCTGTGGTTTGATCTGTAACTGTATCACTGTCCCTGGAGAACACAGGTTTATTTCTATCTATAACACTGACTATAGGGCTGTGGTTTGATCTGTAACTGTATCACTGTCCCTGGAGAACACAGGTTTATTTCTATCTATAACACTGACTATAGGGCTGTGGTTTGATCTGTAACTGTATCACTGTCCCTGGAGAACACAGGTTTATTTCTATCTATAACACTGACTATAGGGCTGTGGTTTGATCTGTAACTGTATCACTGTCCCTGGAGAACACAGGTTTATTTCTATCTATAACACTGACTATAGGGCTGTGGTTTGATCTGTAACTGTATCACTGTCCCTGGAGAACACAGGTTTATTTCTATCTATAACACTGACTATAGGGCTGTGGTTTGATCTGTAACTGTATCACTGTCCCTGGAGAACACAGGTTTATTTCTATCTATAACACTGACTATAGGGCTGTGGTTTGATCTGTAACTGTATCACTGTCCCTGGAGAACACAGGTTTATTTCTATCTATAACACTGACTATAGGGCTGTGGTTTGATCTGTAACTGTATCACTGTCCCTGGAGAACACAGGTTTATTTCTATCTATAACACTGACTATAGGGCTGTGGTTTGATCTGTAACTGTATCACTGTCCCTGGAGAACACAGGTTTATTTCTATCTATAACACTGACTATAGGGCTGTGGTTTGATCTGTAACTGTATCACTGTCCCTGGAGAACACAGGTTTATTTCTATCTATAACACTGACTATAGGGCTGTGGTTTGATCTGTAACTGTATCACTGTCCCTGGAGAACACAGGTTTATTTCTATCTATAACACTGACTATAGGGCTGTGGTTTGATCTGTAACTGTATCACTGTCCCTGGAGAACACAGGTTTATTTCTATCTATAACACTGACTATAGGGCTGTGGTTTGATCTGTAACTGTATCACTGTCCCTGGAGAACACAGGTTTATTTCTATCTATAACACTGACTATAGGGCTGTGGTTTGATCTGTAACTGTATCACTGTCCCTGGAGAACACAGGTTTATTTCTATCTATAACACTGACTATAGGGCTGTGGTTTGATCTGTAACTGTATCACTGTCCCTGGAGAACACAGGTTTATTTCTATCTATAACACTGACTATAGGGCTGTGGTTTGATCTGTAACTGTATCGCTGTCCCTGGAGAATACAGGTTTATTTCTATCTATAACACTGACTATAGGGCTGTGGTTTGATCTGTAAATCTATCGCTGTCCCTGGAGAAACTATCTGAACTAAACTGTTGGTACACAGGTTTGTTTCTATCTATTATTTGACCCTGAGATGAAGGTTGACTGACAAGGTCATTTACGACAAATAGTGACCCAGAGCAAAGACTGACCTAAAAAATTAATACATTTTGCTGTGCTATTTTATCTAGGCGAAGACTGTAAACAATTTGTTGGATATGTAGGTATAAACAGATGACACAGAAAGAGCAGAAAATGTGTCCCGGCAAATATCATCAGATTAATGATCTAACAAATACAGGAGGCGGAGGCCAAAGGGTATACCATTTTCTCTTCCAATGATTGACAACTAGTCAATACTCTTTTATCTTGGACGTGGCACGCTTCCTTGAATCAAAGCCAATGTAGCTGATGGAAGCAGGATACCACTGAGGAAGCCTCAGCGGAACCAGCACTCTTAGACATGGCAGTGTCGAACCAGCACTCTTAGACACATGGCAGTGTCGAACCAGCACTCTTAGACATATGGCAGTGTCGACCCAGCACTCTTAGACATGGCAGTGTCGAACCAGCCCTCTTAGACATGGCAGTGTCGAACCAGCACTCTCAGACATGGCAGTGTCGAACCAGCACTCTTAGACATATGGCAGTGTCGACCCAGCACTCTTAGACATGGCAGTGTCGAACCAGCAGTCTTAGACGTGGCAGTGTCGAACCAGCACTCTTAGACATGGCAGTGTGGAACCAGCACTCTTAGACACATGGCAGTGTCGAACCAGCACTCTTAGACATATGGCAGTGTCGACCCAGCACTCTTAGACATGGCAGTGTCGAACCAGCACCCTTAGACATGGCAGTGGCGAACCAGCACTCTTAGACATGGCAGTGTTGAACCAGCACCCTTAGACATGGCAGTGTCGAACCAGCACTCTCAGACATGGCAGTGTCGAACCAGCACTCTTAGACATATGTCAGTGTCGAACCAGCACTCTTAGACATGGCAGTGTCGTACCAGCACTCTTAGACATGGCAGTGTCGAACCAGCACTCACAGACATGGCTGTGTCGAACCAGCACTCTTAGACATGGCAGTGTCGTACCAGCACTCTTAGACATGGCAGTGTCGAACCAGCACTCTCAGACATGGCAGTGTCGAACCAGCACTCTTAGACATATGTCAGTGTCGAACCAGCACTCTTAGACATGGCAGTGTGGAACCAGCACTCTTAGACACATGGCAGTGTCGAACCAGCACTCTTAGACATATGGCAGTGTCGACCCAGCACTCTTAGACATGGCAGTGTCGAACCAGCGCTCTTAGACATGGCAGTGTCGAACCAGCACTCTCAGACATGGCAGTGTCGAACCAGCACTCGTAGACATGGCAGTGTCGAACCAGCACTCTTAGACACATGGCAGTGTCGAACCAGCACTCTTAGACATATGTCAGTGTCGAACCAGCACTCTTAGACATGGCAGTGGCGAACCAGCACTCTTAGACATGGCAGTGTTGAACCAGCACTCTTAGACATGGCAGTGTCGAACCAGCGCTCTTAGACATGGCAGTGTCGAACCAGCACTCTTAGACATGGCAGTGGTGACCTCTGACTCAGCAAATATAGAACAGGTAGTTTTTGTCAATTCTCCCAGCGGGGAAAAAAATCCAGTCAATAGTTTATATTTGAATCAAGTGTAGCATGAACCTACTTCAGACCTGAAATATTATGTAATACTTTGTGACCATCAATCACTGCACAAACATGCGTGAGAAAACGAAGAAATTCATCATCACTACATTGATCTGCAAATTCTGTTGACAGTGAAAAGCAAGATCAAATATTTACCGAGAATTAAAAGCAGTTTGATCATCCTAAAACGAGATTGAACTTTTTGGCAGGAAAATTCTAAAATCCTCAATTGATACATCAATACCAAAATGTTCCCAATATTTATTCAACGCAATCAAATACAAAATATCACTTCTGGATACAGACTAAATCTCACATCTCCGAGGGAATTTCGATCTCTCCGAGTCTAATAATGAATGACATGTACAATACCAGACAGAATTATTTCCAGGAAAAAATTAAGATGAATTTCTTAAACGGCATGCCATACTAAATGCCAAGCTGAAAATGTTTGTTGGGGAGACGGAGAGACTACAGTTACTGCAGTCATCAGCTTGCTGAATAAAATCAATTAACTAAAATTAGCAAATCTTCGGGAATCTCTAAATTATAGTCAAATGTGCAAAAGTGTTCTATTTTGAGGTAACGTAACTATAACTAAAAGACAGCACATGGGGGTCACCTCCGGGGGCCTCCAGGGAGGTAATCTATTTTGTTTTGGTTTGATTGCTTAGGACTCAAATTCACAGATCTGTTAGGATTTTTTGCTGACTGTGAAATACATGAACTACAGGAGTTCAATTGGGATTTTATGCCGATTTAAAAAAAGTGAATAAAAATAAAAAGTGAAGACATCACTTGGTTAAAGCTGACTCCAAAACTCCCTAAAACTTGGAGGTTACTCTGAATTTTATGTGGACTTCAAAACTCTTAAGGCATAAAAATGGATTAATTGCTGACTCCAAAAAGCATGGAGATCACTCTGAATTTTATGTGGACTCAAAAAAACTCAACAAAATATAAAAGTTGATACATCAACTACCAAATAGATGGGTTCTGAGGTTCTATGAGATTTTATGCAGACTCATTATATTTTTCAATAAACCTCGGAAGATCAATTTTCAATTAGCTACAAATGATACACAATGTCTGATAACAAAATGGAAAATTTAACTTGACAATCAATCGGTTTTATTGGCATTTTATTACCAAACAGCTTCCTCTCCTCCTGTATAAAACTAGATCACCACTTTGCTATATAACATTTAGTCAACCCATCCCAATCCATACAGGACCAGATAAAACTAGGTTTAATATTTACAGCCGTAATTTTACAACGACATATCTCGTGACGAATCACAATTACGGTCACCACGACCTTGACATCAAAACTAACCTTATCACCTGGAACCTTTTTTACCTGTTCTATGCAACATGTTGTTTCAGCAGAAAATGAAATAATATAGAAACTGTTGTGCAGTCCGTTACAGATTTACCAAAGTTTGGCCATAGTCATCCAGAATTGTATTAAATCTGTGCGTCCAGAAGCATTCCAAACAAATGAAAACATATACACAGTAGCCACCATGTATCGGCTTGTAATTTTTGAAAAGTCTAAGGAAATGGTGCAACCGTATGATTTGACCTAATTTCACGTACAACATCGAAGTAACCTATTTATTATAACCTTCAGGATAGACTATTCTATTCATAAAGACAGTGACCTTGATCTTTACTGATGATCGAACTCTCTGCATATCGTTTTCTTGTGAGAATTAAGAGGAAAAAAATGCATTTATAGTAACAGTGACTTTCATCTTTCACCTAATGTAGGTCAAAAGCTCGGTGACATTCACTTTTGACATAGTGATCTGAAAAGCCCAGTGACCTTCACCTTTGACCTACATATCTTAAAAAGCTCATTGACCTTCACCTATGACCTACTGATCTGAAAAGCTATCTCAAACATCTAAATTACCCAGGAGTCAGTATTATCTAAAGTTTGAGCACTATAGATCAAATTGGTAACTCAAATTACTCCTCCTAAATTCTCCCCCTCTCAATGCTCCAACCCTCTTTCCTGTCCCATACCCAACCCTTATAATGACTATGAGCGATGAATCAAATTTAGCAAAGACCCTTTTTACATTCCAGCAAAATCCTGAATATATTTGTTTGTTGACTATATGGACAGTTATATTACGACTATTTGTTTTGTTGATCGTATGAGCACTGATAATGCAATGACTTACGGCAGTCTGTGCTGTGATATGCGTACACCCGATGATCTTGGCTCCAACAAGAGGCTTGTCCGACTCGGCTCTCCGTCGTAGGGCAATCAACCCGGGCATTTCTGCAGCACAAATTTAAAAGGTCAAAACACAGACAATGTTAAAAGTCAAAATATAATCATAGACAAATATATGGCTTAATCTTGTATTCCATGCTTTGTCAGTAAAGGAGTTGATAGCTTACCGTTTTAATAAATCATTTTTCCGAAAAATTTAGGACAGAAAATAACAAACTGGGAAAATGTTTAACCTTCAATTATTTCACGATCCATAATGACAGAAAATTCATCACGGCATATCTTAGTACACATTCTAATTACCAACCATCACTTAATCCTCTCTCACAATTAACTTTGGGCAAATATGGATTGTATCTACAAAGAGTCAATATCACACAATCAAGTTTACCTGTATAGAAACTTGTGCTTTACAAATACCAATGTGATTACTTAGCCATCGGGATGACAGCTTTTGAGAAAAACACCTTTGGAAGGAGTTTTTTGCATAATCATTAGGACAAAATATATATTTATGTCTGTATAGTATTCTCGTCTGTAACATGTACAAAAAGCAGTCTCGGGCAATGTTGTTGTTGCTGTGTAACATCAGCGTCACTCCTCGGGCAATGTTGCGGTCACATTCGCGACTGTCAGTTTACAACAAGGCTACCAAAGCTAGTCAATGATAATCTCATGCATTTCCATTAGGTATACTTGCATGCTTACATGTTCTTGTAATAAGTAAGAATTTCAAAATATCAAATATTATGAATGATTTATGAATGACAAACTAACATGAACGTTTGTCTAAAAACATCAATAATGTATAATGTAATTGCTTGTTAGCTCAGCTGGGTTCTAATAATTTTGATAATTTTAACACAGTAATGGAGTAAACTTCACACCATATAGACACGATCCCATTGCAGCTCACTAATCACTAAAGCCTATTGGTGTCTGGCCCCTGTGTCAGACCCCCACTTTGAACCTTGCATTTATGTTTCTAAAGAAGATTATTTTCCTATCTCATTACTCTGCCAATACATGAAATAACTTTACTTTCTTAAGAGTGGTTCAATCAAATCCAAATCTCTATAAATGCAGAAGAAAATAGTTTTTGAAGAAAAAATAATCAATCACTCAATTATACCCAATTTAGATTCCAGGCCTATATTACATAGACAAAGCTTTCCCTTTGGGTATATAAAAGCTAAGGAAAAATCTTACTCGCGATGTATTGTGGGACCAAAGCCAGCAAATTCAGAGTATAGAAACAATTTCCAAAACATTAAAATACAGAAAGTACATTGGAAAACTTTTCGTTTTCATGAATTAAACATAGGTATGCAACAGTTCAATTTAACAGTGATACTAAACATTGTATTCCTTGTGGGGAATCAGAAAGTACTTTAAAGCAAAAATCTAACAAACAGAAAATTGAATTCCACATATCCTGGATTGATTGAGGTCTTGTGACCGATCAAACTTGATAAGAAATTTAAGTCCTCCTGACATAAAATAGACATTTACAGAATGAACTGGAAATAAAAACCCTATCCTCCAGCGTTTTAATTAGCTATCTACTTCTGCGCCAGCTGAGAAACAACTGGCAAAGAGCACTTTTTAAATTTTCTAATTATTACGCGTGTATAAAAGTGACGTTTCTCCAACGACATCAGTGTTGCATCCTAATAGAACTGTTAATTATTTAGGGCCAGAAAATCTCTGTAATTTCTCTTTTAGAAACCTTTTGTGTTACCGTGTATAAAGATGGGTTTCCCACAGATTATCTGTAAGCCTAGCTGACATGATCTTTTGCAGTATAAGATAGATTGTTGGCGGTCTTCAAAAATATCCGTTACATGTTACAGTCTCCAATTTTCAAATTCTGAGTATCTAAGAAATGCAGACACAAAATTTTCACAATGGATGACCTGCCACTTAAGGTTACAAGCTGTAAAAGCTGTCATTCTTGGCAGATATATGGCCATCCGATTAAACAGTTCTCACACACTTAAGGGGGGTGTTGTAGACAGACTGTGGGTCAAGGTTTCTCAAGTGAACTTCAGTTATTGCTCGGAGCTCATAAATTAGTGAAAAGCGATGAACTATCTTAAAAGTCATGATTTTAACATTTGTGATAGATAGCATGGTCCTGCTAGATCATGGTAACAATGGTAAACCATCTAAAATCACTTGTTCTTTATTATGCTAGAGATTTGTCACAGCAGTGAACCAATCTAGTCACTTGTTACTGACTGAACAAGAGGTATGTCACAGCGGTAAACCATCTAGTCACTTGTTACTAACTGAACAAGAGGTATGTCACAGCGGTGAACCAATCTAGTCACTTGTTACTGACTGAACAAGAGGTATGTCACAGCGGTGAACCATCTAGTCATTTGTTACTAACTGAACAAGAGGTATGCGGTGAACCATCTAGTCACTTGTTACTGACTGAACAAGAGGTATGTCACAGCGGTGAACCATCTAGTCACTTGTTATTAACTGAACAAGAAGTATGTCACAGTGGTGAACCAATCTAGTCACTTGTTACTGACTGAACAAGAGGTATGTCACAGCGGTGAACCATCTAGTCACTTGTTACTAACTGCACAAGAGGTATGTCACAGAGGTGAACAATCTAGACACTTGTTACTGACTGAACAAGAGGTATGTCACAGCGGTGAACCAATCTAGTCACTTGTTACTGACTGAACATGAGGTATGTCACAGAGGTGAACAATCTAGTCACTTGTTACTGACTGAACAAGAGGTATGTCACAGCGGTGAACAATCTAGTCACTTGTTACTAACTGAACAAGAAGTATGTCACAGTGGTGAACCACCTAGTCACTTGATACTAACTGCACAAGAGGTATATCACAGCGGTGAACCATCTACTCACTTGTTATTAACTGAACAAGAGGTATGTCACAGTGGTGAACCATCTAGTCACTTGTTACTAACTGAACAAGAGGTATGCCACAGCGGTGAACCATTTGGTCACTTGTTTACGACATGTTAAATGTACATAACCGTTGTGCATTAAGGTTAATGTTATTATATAGGATTCGTTAAAACTGTGCTAAATTCAGTCTGTTAGGAATCTGTCTTGAATTTTAAGGTCTAGGGTTCAAATCCTGGTCTTTCACATTAGGGCCAGGACCAAATTTCCCAGTGACAATAATTTCTGGAGTAATTATACGGTACCTTGTTCTGCGATCTCGATCTCTCGTCGGCCGAATGCTGCACTTTCAATGTTGCGTACGCAGAAGTCAGTTCCTCCTTTGCCATTTTTCTGTAATGAAAACATCATGTCATCAAACAAATATGAACATTGTTCTCAAGTAAATTATACACACTATTTTTGACAGAAAGAGAAAGCCTACTGTAATGAGGGTATCCTGAGGGAATTTGGAAAACAAACCTGAAATGCATATGGTGAAATTAAAATAATTTTTGCTTCAGATTTCATAATTTCTAGAAATCTTTTAGTTGCTTTTTTAATCAGACAACTATTCTTGTCAAAATTGTTCAGTAATCATGAAGTTGAGTAATATTAAACCAAAACAGCCTGCCGTGAAACATTATCTGCTAAACTATGCAATTTATCAAAATGATATTCCACTTAATTAATGGGGAATTCAACTTGACATTTGAGACCTTCATGTCCCTGCCAACAGTGGGTAATTCAATGGATTTATTTATAGTTTGAGAAAAATGTCTCTCAATTTCCAATTTAATTTGCCACACCAATTATTCAACTAGGTATCTCCTATGAGATCAAATATAGTTGCCAAGTAACAGTTTCAGGGTATATCTTTCCTTTGAAAGTTGGAAAACTAGTGAGTTTGCACTATTCGTAGAACCAAAAGTTTCCCGATAAACAGGTCGCACAGTAAGACTAGAAGTAATCCATCACTTAAACATTGCATGCTTTGATCTACTACCATAACTCAGGGATCAAATCGATCGAATCGGATTGATCCAGGGAAGCAATTAGGTTGCTCCTACCCAGGAAAACAATTTCCAGACTAATTAGTTGCGTAGGAAACAATTACCGAAGCGATCTTATAGTGTTCAACATGTTTTTAACCTAATTTTTATCAATCTGCTCAACTTTTAATAATTCTGTTCGTTTATCAAAGATATTTCAAATCAACAACAAATGTGAAGAAACTTCACAGTCATTTCTTGTTTGATTTGATTTAGGCAGTGCAAACGCTGCCAGTGTTACTGATCTACCAGGGTTTACTGTCCATGCCAGCTTGTGCTCCGCAAATATTGATTCAGACTCGGAGAGTTTAGGAGCTGGACAACACTAGGTATGAAACTTGGATTTCCTGACAAACGTGTTAATCAGTCTCTACAGCCAAGTTCCTTCAAGAATTTCCTCTGCAATTTTATCTAGATAGAAGACGGTATCTTTGGGTGAAAAAAATCTGTATAAATCATTGATGGTTTTTCCTGTCATTTCCACCTGTGGTTGCTATTTTGTTTATGAATTAATATCAGTGACGTTCCTGTAACAACTAGTTTCCAATATAGGTAATTTAGGTATAACATATTAATGCACAGTCATTTATATATGGTGAGTAAGTTACCAATGACATCAATTTACAGATTCTTATGACACTATTGAGATATTCTACAGATACCTAAGTATACATATCATATTTTACCAGTAACAGAGCAGACACAGTTGCGAATTTTCAGAATGGCCTGCTCCTTTTCCAAGACAAATACTCAATGAAGACAATAAGCCATTCAGATTGATATGTCTCGCCTGTGCCCTGCTTTGACAATCAATGCACATGTCAAGTTTGGTACGTCTAGCACTTAAAAATGCAAAAACTTGATGTTGATGAAGATGCTGACAAAGTCAATAGATCATGAAAGATACATCTATATAATGGTCCAAGTTTGGTTGGTCTAGCACTATACTTTCAGTGAAACTAACTTAAATACAAAAACTATGTTGACGCCGCCACCGGAAAAGCAACACCTTAGTCTCATTTCTGCTACTTTGTGGTGGCGAGACAAAAACAAAAACTGTGACAATAATGTAAGAACACATCTGGTCCAAACAAACATAAATGTATTTCTGTCCTAGCTGTCCCTGGATACTCCAACAAGAAATGTTACGGTCGGATAATTGTCATACAGTACAAATCTGGACAAGTCTTGTGAAAGCAATCCTTTCTGCCTGTAAAAGGGCGGTCTCTCAAGGCTCTTAACAGGAACACAAACCCAATCTCTATACCCACACTTAAGTATGTCTCCAGTCTCCACAAATGTTTTCGAAAATAACGAGAAAAATTACGACATGTCTCCAAAGTTTCCTAGTCTGATCTCACAGTAAACAAAATAGGAAGACATTATTACGGCAGTGGGATCACAGCTTCAAACAAAACCAATGTCTTTGACTATTAACAATATCTGTCACTACAGTATTTTAACCCTTTCACCCCTATGTAACTTCAGTAGACTATACCACACATTGATATGGATGAGTCCATTATGGTCTACAGTGGTGAAAGGGTTATAAACAATACGATGATACTTTAATAACATGTCCCCAACTAATTACTATCTTGCTTATATCCACAACGTAGTTCAAGATCACCTTTACCCTTTTTTTCTTTAAGCAATTCCTTTATGTTATAGTGTCACCCTCAATGTATATCGCCTAACCCCTCTATATGCCAAAATCTCTATGGACAAATGGTGGCATTAACATAATCATGTTTTAGTGTAGATATATAGAATTACTAATCTATCTTCTAGCTATAATAAAAGTACAAGTGCACATTCTGTACAAAGGGGACTTGAGTTTGTATCGAGTATCAAGTTTTACACATTTCCTGCGCATTGAGGCATTTAGGGATCCCCGCACCATCTACTGCCATAAACTGAAACTTTGCATTGGAAACTGTTTTTATTTTCTAACATGGCTCAATAGCTTTGAAAAACCATTTCTGAAAGAAACACAAATAACTTGCTGGACCTTTATGGAAAAAATATTGTTTAATGTTAAAGATTGTTATATTGTCACTCTAATCAACTACCTAGAGTCAACAGAAGTGCACCTGCTGGTCAAACAAGGCTAATCATAATTTGTGAAATGGTATCAGGGGAAGGTAACTGTAAATACAAGAAAACTACAGTATAATCTCTATTATTTTGCCTGCAGTGGGACAGGGATCCTTAATGTAGAAGTAGAACTCTCTAGTGTTTTGCGTGCAGTGGGACAGGGATCCTTTACCAGCAGAAGTATGGATTTGTGTGTTAGATACCTTACTAATATCACATGATTCATTCCTGAATATCAATTATAATAAAAAAAACATGTTTTTTTAATTTTCAACAGTAACTCAATATGCTTCCTGTCTCGTTAAGGTGATTACAGCCAATCATTTTACAGTCACACTTGGTTTCCTAATGCTTCTTCCAAAAAGTACAATCATTAATTCAATTCTATTTTTTTATCAAATTATGGGGAAAACATTATTGTGAACAGGACCATGGCTTAATTCTTTTCAACTGTCTTTGTTCGGGGACAAACTTTCATTTAAATGACTACAGAGCCAAACTCTGAAAAGCTCAACCATTAAACAATTCACCAATAAGGCTGTCACGTATCATAACTTCACAATGGTCTACACAAGTCTATTTAATAAGAAATGCTAATTGGTAAATATCGGGAGGGCTGCTATTACTTAGACTTGAGTCAAGAGAGAGAAGGAACTGTAAACAACCACTTGACAAGTATGCGTTAAACAGCCAGACAGAAAAATCTGTCCTCAAACTCGTTCGATCGCTGATCAATACAGGAAACCCTTTGAAACCGAACTCATTGGATCAACTTTCGTTTACTGTAATTGTATTGGTAAGATAAGATGTATTCTCCGATAAGGTTCAGAGTTTCATAAATATACAGTCAGGGCGTGAGCGCAAAGAAAAACAATTTGATATACGACGACAGAAACCCCAGGGAAACCACCACACTGAATTTGGACCAAATCTTTATGACTGTCGTCCCTAATTACAGTACATACTATTAAGGTCCGGTGGCAATCACCTGAGACTACGACTTGAGAAGTATTATTTCAACTGTATGCAAATTGATAAATTAATGTAAGAAACGAGAAACCTTCAGCAGACAAATGTATATTGAATTATGGTATAATGCATTATTAATAAAGCTTCAGATCTAATAATAACAGGCAAACTGAATCTTAGAAAATTGATTCTGAGATCTTGCGCTGTTTCCCAACCTCCTGAACTTTTTGTATACCTTTTATTCTCAATAATACAGTTATTTGAGAATGGTCCTGATGAGATTGAGGATGAATTATAGAGGAATCCAATCCCTGGAATTGAATCAGAATGGGAACTAATGTAACCTTTATCCAATAGTTTCCACTCTAACATTACAGATAATGATTTATTTATTACCCTTCTCACTAGAATAAACTTGCGATTCAGATCAATGATTGGTCCTTCCAACATCCGTGGGATTAAAATCAAATATCAAACGCTTCCTGAACAATCTTTCCTCTTAAATCATTTTACATTTCTCTTTACTAACTGAAAATGACAGAACCAAGAGAAGCTTTGATGCAGATGTATTGGTGCTTTTTTTAAAAGAATCAAGGGAAAATATCTGGAGATATTATTTTTAAAAAATCTCCATAGAGTTAATTTACTGTTTTAGTCAAGATCCGGCTTATTAACTAAAATTCAAAAAGAATTGTGTTGGTCATATAAACTTTTTGTAGAGGTTTTCCATCACAGACTATATACTGCACAAAGGTTAATTTTTGCTTTACTTATAGATTTTAACACTTTCATAACCTACCTGGCATGCACTACCATACCAATAACTTGACACTACATAAATGAGATATATAGCTCTCCTTTGAACAGGAACATTACTTATTTCTAGTTTGACCCATAAGACAGATTTAACTAGACAGGTTAATCTTGGTTTGGTTTGATTTGTTCGTGTTTTACGTCCTCTTAACAGCTATGATCATTGAAGGACGTGCCACGTGGTGGTGGTGGAGGTAAAAGCCGGAGTTCCTGGAGAAAAACCACCGACCCACGGCTAGTACCTTGTTAATCTGACCACAGTCTGATTTAAGAAGCAGTTAACTCATTCACCCCTGAGAACACATTTGAACTCTTCCAATTCAAAGGTTGGAATAGTTCATTATGAAATTTCAGGGGTGAATGAGTTAACAAACCAATGATAGTCGGATTTAAGGAAGACTATTACTTAAAGTCAGTCTGACTTGAAACTGAGTAAATCAACCTCAGTTTGACTAAAGAGACATGTACACCATCAAGAAGTACTAACATCTAAATGTGTATGAAAAGTTACTTACAATAACAAATTACATCAGCTGAAGCCTACATTGTAACTATGAAATATCAGTAAATAAACAACCATATAATTATTTTACCATATTTGACTAAATAAGTGCTCCATATCCTCCATTTTTCTGGTTTAAGCATTCTATTCCTTTACTAAAATGTATTTCTTACTTTTTTAACCTTTTCCAGACTTAAACATCTTTTTTTTTTCTAAATTTTCTTTTAGAATTTTGCTCTAAATTTTGATTTTCATAAATCGATAAGCATGCACCCAGGGCACATATTAGGTTTAATACTGTATGCAGATTTTGACCATTGACCTTTAACTTTATGATGTTGACAAAACTTTAACTCAGAATTCACACGATTTATCTTTCTAAAGGGTGCAATGAATACAAGATGTGCATCATTATAGAAACCTAAACTGTTAAAGTCTACTGTTTGAGCATTTCCATATACATTACATACAACCACGGCATTGAAGTGACTTCTTCCTGACACTCCAACAAAACAGGCTATACACAGAAGCTGTGATCTGGATACTTAAAACCTTTTGTGATCCGGAATAACAAATGGAATTCAGGCTATTTTTTCAAAAGGAAGGGTATATCTAATGTAACAGGCAATGAAACCTGTCCACCAAATACCATCAGTTCGGCCCCCATCAAAACAATTTGTGTATATGAAACAGACAGATTTTCCGATTTTATGCCCAGATTGCATAAAACCATATACAACATGATTTGAATATAGCCTGTTTCAGACAGAGGTTTGAATTATTTAGGCTTCTGTTTAGTTAATTAAGTTTTACTGTATGTAGTACATGTAGAGGGATTTACATTGGTAACACCTATGTTTCACTGTACGAGGGTAACACCTGTGTTTCACTGTACGCGGGTAACACCTATGTTTCACTGTACACAGGTAACACCTGTGTTTCACTGTACACGGGTAACACCTATGTTTCACTGTACACATGTAACACCTATGTTTCACTGTACGAGGGTAACGCCTGTGTTTCACTGTACGCGGGTAACACCTGTGTTTTACTGTACATGGGTAACACCTTTGTTTTACTGTACACGGGTAACACCTGTGTTTTACTGTACACATGTAACACCTATGTTTCACTGTACACGGGTAAAATCTATGTTTCACTGTACGCGGGTAACACCTATGTTTCACTGTACACGGGTAACACCTTTGTTTCACTGTACATGGGTAACACCTTTGTTTTACTGTACACGGGTAACACCTATGTTTCACTGTACACAGGTAACAGCTATGTTTCACTGTACACAGGTAACACCTATGTTTCACTGTACACGCGTAACACCTATGTTTCACTGTACACATGTAACACCTATGTTTCACTGTACATGGGTAACACCTATGTTTTACTGTACACGGGTAACACCTATGTTTCACTGTACACAGGTAACAGCTATGTTTCACTGTACACTTTACTGTACATGGGTAACACCTTCACAGGTAACACCTATGTTTCACTGTACACGGGTAACACCTATGTTTCATTGTACACGGGTAACACCTATGTTTCTCTGTACACATGTAACACCTATGTTTCACTGTACATGGGTAACACCTTTGTTTCACTGTACACAGGTAACACCTATGTTTCATTGTACACGGGTAACACCTTTGTTTTACTGTACACGGGTAACACCTATGTTTCACTGTACATGGGTAACACCTTTGTTTCACTGTACACAGGTAACACCTTTGTTTCACTGTACACAGGTAACACCTATGTTTCACTGTACACGGGTAACACCTGTTTCACTGTACACGGGTAACACCTATGTTTCACTGTACACGGGTAACACCTATTTTTTACTGTACCTGTACTTTCTCTCTTGGGTTAACGTCTTCACCCTCCGAGGAACTGCCGGTGTAGGATGCTGGAAAAATAAACACACTCAAAATCAGCAACATGTAATACATCGTCAGGGCATCTGATGGTAAATCTATGCCATCAATGAACATTTGTGTGAATTTCCAATTAATATTTCTCCTCATGTTAATGACACAAGTTATTGCAATATTAATTAATGGTTTCATTTCCGTTTAATTCTGGCTTTGTTCACAAAGTTTAAAATGATTTTTTTACAAAAGTAAAAATATTTTGATAATTTTGAATGAATTTTAATTCTTGTTTTGATGAATTGCGAACACTGCTTTGATATAGACAAAACAACTTCCTGTAAAAAAATAGATAACAAGTATCTTTTAACTTGATCCTGTAATTGTTGCAGTTGCTGTGGCTTATCTAGACTGGAAATTCACACCATGGTAAAGTTCAATTATCAATTCTTTAGCTTCAGTCTTCTAACTTACATGTATTGCAGCTGCAAGAAGGCTTTCCTGTTCTCATATTAAATAAGCATTTCTTAAGCCAATATCATCAGAAATATTCTTAATTATAGAAATATAAAACTTGGTGCATAAATTTAATCATAGAATCAAATACATTGCATACATTATATCTATTTTTTTTAAATATTTTGTTGACAAAATGGATGTTCCTAATGGTCGTGATCAGTGTGTGGTACATTGTCGACATTAATACCTGTGTGGTGTGGAAAATGATGTTCATGTGTCAAACTCATGTATAATTTCCAACCTTTGTTAACTATCCAAAGTATGATGTGTTTCCTTATATTGTTAACAGAACTACCTCGAAATCCTAAACCTGTATAAACCAAACAACTGTACCAACCGTCCAACAACTGTACCAACCATCTAACAACTGTACCAACCATCCAACAACTGTACCAACCGTCCAACAACTGTACCAACCATCCAACAACTGTACAAACCATCCAACAACTGTACAAACCATCCAACACCTGTACAAACCGTCCAACAACTGTACAAACCGTCCAACAACTGCACAAACCGTCCAACGACTGTACCAACCGTCCAACGACTGTACCAACCGTCCAACGACTGTACCAACCGTCCAACGACTGTACAAACCGTCCAACGACTGTACAAACCGTCCAACAACTGTACAAACCATCCAACAACTGTACCAACCGTCCAACAACTGTACAAACCGTCCAACAACATCTTTACCAACTGTTCTACAATAAACCACCTGTCCAACAACAACTTTACAAACTGACAAAGTATTATGTGTTTCCTTATATTGTTAACAGAACTACCTAAAAAATCCTAATCAGTAACATCTTTTCAAACTCACAAAATCTGACGTGTTGTGTCATTTGTGTTACTTACAGTACTATCTCAAAATCCTAAACCTGCACAAACTGAACATTACTGTACAAACTGTCCACCAAACGTACAGCTCTACTAAGATGATGCTACCTGTACAAGCTGACCACCAAGCGTACAGCTCTACTAAGATGATGCTACCTGTACAAGCTGACCACCAAGCGTACAGATCTATTACGATGATGCTACCTGTACAAGCTGTCCACCAAACGTACAGCTCTACTAAGATGATGCTACCTGTATAAGCTGACCACCAAACGTACAGCTCTACTAAGATGATGCTACCTGTACAAGCTGTCCACCAAATGCATCCTTTGGTCAAATGTTCACCTAGTTACTTGCAGGGTATTTGTAGTGATCGTAACAGGTGTGTCTGAATCTAATGAATGCTTTTTAGAGTTATGGTGATACTACATAAAAAGGGAAAGACAAACTGAGGGCAGCAGTTTCAGTCCCCTTTCACACACTTTCTCCCTTTCACACACTTTCTCCCTTTCACACACTTTCTCCCTCATGAGAGGAATTGGACGTTTCAGAGGCTGACAGCTATAACTTTGTTCCAAACTTGCACCAATTCAGACTTAGTAACGAGAACAGTTTTTCAAAGTCTGATTACTTTGTTGTTCTCTTTAAAACTATTTGTGAAAATCCATCAATGTCTGTCAGTATTTACAGCATCATCTGTTTCGTTACCTTAACCAGCAATAATTGACACTAAAACTTCTAAATTCTGTAACTCGTAAAAACCAACCCACAACCTCTTCCCTTGCAAAAAAGTCCATGGATAATCCCTGGATTATCCGTTGTAATCCTGTGTTTTATTCCTGCAATATCTCTTAGATATTTTCCAAGCATTCTCTGGATATAGACAAAAATCCCCGAATATAACCCACCACTGTATTGGAACAGGGATCCAGGGTTGGAGGATTATGTAAGATAATTATCTTGTGCTACTCTACACGTGAAAGATACGAAGAACAACAGTTTGATAAAAAAAAATATGTAAAATCTTTTAAATTCTTTCTTAATTGATCTGGGGAAAATACCTACTTTATAAATGAAGTTAATGTGTATTATTAAGAACAGACATTTCCAAGTCGATAGAGTCGGTTCCTCCTTCCATACAGAGGTGCATGTTTAATTGTAACCTACAACCTTCATGCTGTATACTTAACTCGTTCACCCCTGAAGACACATTTGAACTCTTCCAATTCAAAGGATGGAATAGTCCATTATGAAATTTCAGGGGTGAATGAGTGAAACTACTTGTGGATGTTTTCCAGACTGGTATAGGTTTATAGGATCTTTGTATCTGTTTCGTTATGTACAGCTGGGAAATTGTTTCTCATCAAGATATTTTGGGTATCAAAGATATCTACTATTTCCTTTTCATTTGAAAACCAGATTCTACAGACACATGTTATATGTGGTACATCAATCGTTGATACAGATATATCTAGCTCCACACATTCTACGTTTGCTACCTCAGATAACCTGCATGAAATTCTGATCTATCAAAGAACAGGAAGACCTGATACTTCACAAGATACAGTTAAGATGGGAAGATCTTATTAAATCTATAACCAGTAAGTATTTCTTCCAAGATATAAACAGACATTTTTGTCTGTGAAGGAATTCCTAGCGTGTATCAACTTTTTGTTAGATGTGAAGACCTGTACATTTATAATGCGTATGGTCAGTATGATCGGTGTTATTGACTGAAATACCAGGACACTTTGACGATTCACACAATCCAGCAGCTGACATCTTACAAGCTTGATAGAAATTTTGACCCAATTAGCAGGCACCTCTGTTTAATACACAGCTGGTGTATCAAACGGTTAATTGTAGGTTAAAGGTTGTAAGGGTAATGGTTAAAAGTTGTAGGTTAAATACCATTTAGTTGTTTTATATTATGTGAATTGATACGAATACCTATTAATATCAAGAACAATTGCCACATGCCAAACAAAATATGAAGAAAATTGAAGCCTAAATGTTTGACATCTGCACCGGTGACTTTGGTACACGGCAAAGAGGGTCGATTCAGCCTAAAGCACTAAACATTGACCAAACAAACGCCAAAAAGATGTCTTCACTGACTTCGCTTTATATCATGACATTAACAGTTTATGTAGCGTTTCAAATTTGGTTTTGTGAAAAAGTGCATATACTTGTATATCAACTTCAATTTCCTATATAACATTGTTGTTCATGTGGACAGAAAAAAAGAATATCTTGTTAATATCACATTGCCCTTTATATCACATGTTGTGGTGGCAACTGACACTTGACATTATGTGGAATGCTTCATATGATGAATAATCACACATCCTCTCCATAGCCTCAGATGCCAATTTACACTTCCAGTCCTAATATAGGATGTTACAACATGCAAATTAACTAGACGCACTGGTAAACAAGGTCGTCATGACAACGCGACAGGTGAAACTTACCACTGCTGCTGTTATCACTGATTCGTTTCTGCGCACTGGCCTTTGTTTTGACTTTACGTCGGACTACATCAGCCTTACCACTGACTACTGCTAAGCTTTTAGAACCCTGCTCAAACTTTGCACGAGGATCAATTGACGTCATGACAGATTCTGATTCAAATTCACCACAAAATTCTCCTGGTCAACCAATTAATTTTACCACAATATTCTTCTGGTAAACCAATCCACTTTGACCACAATATTCTTCTGGTATATAGCAATCAACTTGATCAAAAAATTCTCCTGGTCAACCAATTAGCTTATATTCTTTCGGTTAACTTATATTCAACTTCACCACAAACGTTCTTGTTATCAGATTGAACTTCACCATAAAAATCTTCTGCTCAGCTTAATCACCTTTATAGCACAATCCTCTTGCTCTATAATGGTTCTACTGTCACTTCTTTTTGATCAAACAAGTCAATAACGGCTTTCAATTCTGTCCTCAACTATTCTGGCATCAAACAACAGATTTCACCTGCTTCAGCTACAATTCCTGTTGATGATTTAACAAAATCAAGAAAAAGAGGCCGCAATTCACAGCCTGCTTACAGCCGTATATATTTGCGATAATTGCATGCTCATCTGATGCTTATGGACATCTGGCCTGACACCTGGACATATGACACAGGTAATATTTTGTACCTGTTGGGTATCAGGAGTAAGGCTCTCTCAGGTCATACAACAAGTACCACTAGTTATTATGACAAAATGATATACAGGTCCTCACTGAGTCTGTTTACATACACAGTGAAATTCCCGGCCGCTAACCATTGTACTGGGTGACCTCCTCCACCCCAGATTTAACCTGACAATATATCAGAATCAGACACAAGAGAGACCATATAGTTATGTGAATCAATAAAATCCTTAAAAGAGATTACATGAAGACTGTTATATTTATACATGCTGAATTGAGAGCAGTATATAATCTTATTACCTAAAGTCTTATTTCAGGTACCCAGAAATGGTAAGCAGACCGTGATTACAGGGTAATCTATGTACTATATCGGTGACACAGGAGGGTCAGGGTGAAATTCCTTGGTTGGGGACCTCTAGACACTGCTGACCAGAGACACTGACTTAAATATGTACACAAACATATGCCGGGGAAGAGGATCTTTATCTGGTTTTGTATGCTAACTAATACGTTAAGCTAACCAATGCTT